AAAAATGGCCGCGGACCACGTGGAACGGGCAGAAAAATGGCCGCGGACCACGTGGAACGGGCAGAAAAATGGCTGCGGACCACGTGGAACGGGAGAAAAATGGCCGCGGACCACGTGGCACAGGCAGAAAAATGGCTGCGGACCACGTGGAACGGGAGAAAAATGGCCGCGGACCACGTGGAACGGGCAGAAAAATGGCTGCGGACCACGTGGAACGGGAGGAAAAATGGCCGCAGATCACGTGGCACGGGCGGAAAATGGCTGCGGATCCGGTTCGTAAGTCGAGGCGAGTTCGTAAGTAGAGGTAAATTTTTGGGGCCGGAGCTGGTCGGATCTCGAAAAATTCGTAAGTAGGGGCGTTCATAAGTAGAGGTACCACTGTATTAGATAAATACATGTGTTTTCTTCTATATGTAATGTTTACTAGTTTAGGATGTTGTCACAGGAAAGGGGAAAAAAGATTATTAGTGTATTGATATACTTCCATGAAGCAAATAAATGTTCAGTAACAACAGCCTGTAATGTTCTGAGATTAAACAAAATAAAGCTTTTAAAATAAGCTTTATTCCAAAATTAATTTAGGAATAAAGAAAAAAAAGAAATTAATGAAAGGTTGAATCTGTGACACTCTAAAACCTTAATATAGTTTTATCCAAATGGTTGGATTGTAGTGTTGGTCTATAGTTCCTTTAATTCTCTGGCCAATATAGCCTAGAACAGGGTTCATGCTGGCTGGGGAATTCTGGGAATTGAAGTCCATCCATCTTAAAGTTGCTGAGGTGAAGGAACCCTGCCTAGAAGATAGTGGAAGTTGTATCCCAACACATGTTTTTGCCAGATTAGAGAAGGATGATGTAGTACATTTCTGCCTGCCTTACACCTGGATGATTGATGAATTGCTGTCTTTGGATTCATTTCATGTTTATTTCTAATGTTATCAAGAAAATAGCTTCTGTTTTTGGTTTTGGTAAATACTGGGTGAGATTGAAAACTGTTCTCCGGTCATTCTTTCTGTAGAGGTCTCCACATGGATACATATGCACTTTATCATCTTTGCATTAATATTGCTAGAGACTGTTTATCCAAAGGTGAAATCCAGTGTCATTTATACCAATGTTGGCTTGCACAGTCAAGAGTTTTTCTTGTCTTTTCTCCCTCTAACAACCCACAAAATGGATTTTAGCTCTGACTTTTTCACATGGATACATTGTATTTATGAAGAACACAAATCCAAAATTACATCAATGGCCTTATTTTGATGCAATTTACTATATTGAAGGAAATAAGACAGGGGTATTCCCTTTCTCCTTCTTTATTTTTACTACCACTAGAACTACTGCAAATTTAAATACATCAAGAAAATAGAATTTCAGGAGTTAAATTAACCACAGAAGAATATACATTGAAACTATTTGCTGATGTTAATTGTACTAAATTATTCAACTTAGAGACCCTTTAACATTGTTGATGCAGTAAACACAACTATATGGTTTGGTGTCAGGTTACCACATTAATAAAGATAAAACTGGAATGTTGACATGGAATTTGGCAGAGGTTAAAAAGTGATGTGCCTATAAATTGGCAGTTTTAACATTTTGCTAAGAAAGTAAAATATTTAGGATTTTATTTTTTTGATTAAAAAATAATAAAGGTTTGTTAAGGATATTTATTTACCAACCTGGAAAAATATATTGACAGACATTTCTAATGGAAAAGAATTAAATTTGACTTGGTTAGTGTTGGCCCTTCAATATAGTCCAGACAAGAAGCATGACAATCAATACTAGCTCTGTCTTTATTGTAAGGTTACATTAACAGAATCTTGCAAGTCTAAAAGTACCTCTCCTGTCCCTCACTTTTACTCTCATGAAAACTGGGGAGGATCCCTTTTGAGATGCTTTCTCCACCACACTCCTTTGGACTCAAATTTCATTTATTAGACCATTGTCTAGACTGCAGCTATTCCTCCTGTGTCCCAAGGTCATTCCCACATACCATTACAATTAAGGAGAATTGCAGCTCCCACAATGAGTATTCTACCAAGATTAAGCTATATTTTCCAAACAATTCCAGCATTTATTGAGTACAAAATATTAAGTAATGTCACAGACAAGTAAATCTCTCTTTCTCTCCCTCCCAGAATTAGATGTTGGTTTCTTTTACAATACGTTTAATCCACTCCAATCCCAAACGACTCTGGGTAGCACTCAACATCAAACAAAGGGGGGGGAAACATAAAAGATTAAATCAAAATAGCAGAATCAAAATCAAATCCCAAGATACCTGTAATCAATCAGCTGAGGCCAAAGGTATTCTGAAATAAAACAGATTTATCTTGTTTATAGAACTACAGCAACATGAAGGCTGCAAAGATTTCTGGTGGGAGAAGTATACCAATTGGGAGGTACTGCTGCCTTCTTATCCATATGGCACATACCTTGCAAAGTAGGGAGGCTTTCAGCAGGCTCTCTGTAGATGGCTGAATAGACAGATTCAATTCTGGTGAGGTGTTGCCCGATGTAAGCCAGTGCTGTACCATTTATGACTATAAAGTTAACAACTATCATTGTGCTAGTTGCATCTGGCAGCCTACTAGCAACCAAAGCAGCAACTTTACTAATTCTCCATTTTATAATTTTACATTGGTGAGGTTGTACTGCCAGTAATCAGGCTGTTCTGTTCTGTACCAGCTGCAGCTTCCAATTTGTCTCCAAAGGCAGCCCCACCTACAGCATGCTGCAATTATCCAATCAATGAATTAGAACAAGTCAATTTTGTATCATTTTTTGTATTTCTGTTTATAGGACTGTTCTAAGCAGTTGCACAAAGAAAATGTTCACTAAAGTATGTAAACCAAGAAAAAAAGTTCAATTTTAATGAAGTTGGACACAATACACTAACGCAATTATATACTGCCTTCTTATGATCTAGGAGTGTTAGTATTTATGACAGATATCTGAGTAAGTAAATTGGCACCTTGGTTCATCCATAAAGTAGTTTCAGTCATGACAGCAGAAATGAGTTTAGCAGGTGAGAGGATTCATATTAGTAAACTGCATAGGATGGCAAGCTGCAAATACATCTAATATTATAGCTATGCAAGTTGTAACACAAGTGGATATTGATGATGTTTTTTCATGTCAACAGATTGATTAGTTATTACAAAGAAGATGGAACTGTGCATGGAATATAAAATAATGCCATCTAAGGATGCCCCACTTCTTTGGAACCTCACCTCATTGGAGACCAGTACAGAAATACTGTATTATCATTGCTAGGACAATGTTTAGAAAATAGTTACTAAAACAAATAGGTATTTAATTTCCAGGCCTCTTCCTTGCATTGATATTCATTTATCAAATTTATATGGTCACCCATCTCACAAGAAGTGACTCTGGGGGGCATACAGCAAAAAATATAAAACAATAAACATGTCAAAAACAGTCATATTAAAAAAATAAAAATGCATACAACACGCATTAATAGTTCTGAATGCATCTGAATGTTTTTCTAGCAACACCCATCCAACAACCAGGTGAGCTTCTTCTATTCTCCCTCCACTAATTAGCTTAGCAAACATCCATCAAAAATATAGTATATGCTGATTTAAGTGGTCTGAAAAAATGTTATTTAGAAACTATTACTACAAAAATGACATATTCAGTAGGCCAACAGCAGTGTGCATATTTCCTGTTGTTCCTCAAAACATTTTGCTATAGATATAACAGCTCAGCTGCCTATCCTATGAAACTTAGCACAGCATGAAAAATAACTTATGGGTTCAGTAGAAAGGGATGTGCAGGGAAATAGTCTGAAGATGCTGATACAGACTTGGTATGTACAAATGTTCATGCCTGTATACATAATTGCTGGGAAACCACAGCCTTCCCAACAAGTTTATGGCCAATAAAGAGTGTGATTGCAACCTTTCTGAAAATTCATGTTGCCTTTTTGCAATGCCTTTCAATACCTTTAAGGGAAAACTCCCTTTTCAAGTAAGTTCAACATTCTGAAATTGGGTTAAAAAATATATTTGGAAATCTCCACTGAGAACTGCATTTAGAATATGTAAAGTATATTTGACTTACCTGCTAAACCAGCCTTGATCTTTAACAATATAACCACTCTGATTTACAAGATGCATTATTTGCCTTTGGGCTTTACCCTTACTTTGGTTTCATGTAAAATATTAATGCACATGCCATTATATTTAATCATACTCCTATGGTGCCATTAAACTTTCAAAGCACTGAACAGTTGTGAGATATTATTAATTATGTTACAGTTAAGCTGTGGTCCATTTACTCTTCTCTAGAGACCTAAATGGCTATTGTCATATGACCTCAATTCAGGTGGCGTAGAAATACAGCATAGCAAGGAATAAATTCTTCATGATGTACTATTTGGGGATACAATATTCAGTAGCCTTCTAAATATGTAATTTGAGTTTGGTAGAGAAAAATAATGCATAACTAAATATAACGCAACAATGTATGAAAGAAATGCTGTTAGATATAAAATGCTATAATACCAGAATATGAGGAGCTTAACAATATAAATAACTTACTGAAATATATGACTAATATATGCATTCACTTTCCTAACAGGCCACATATTGCATAGTATTTAAGTAACTAGCCTTCCCTGACGTAGTGGCCACTAGGTGTATTCGGATTACAACTCAGAATTCCTAACCAATGCATTCCTAACTGGGAATTTTGAAAGTGGAAACCCCAAAGTATCCAATAGTTAGCAGATCAGGTTGGGATAAACTGAATTATAGCAGCTTTCTTAGTTTTCTCTGACAAAAGCCCTTTCTCTATGCTACCATGATATCTTATTTTTGTAAGTGAGAAGAATTCATTCACATGTTGTTATGGTATGCAGTTCATGCTTCAAGAAAAATGAAAGGAGAAATAACCGAGTATGCTCAGAGCACTTTCTAGATTTCCACAACAAAAGATTATTTTTTCCTAGGTAACTTTCACTTAGATATTATGTAAGTAATTTCCCATGTTTTTTCTCATCCTCTCTTTCTGTTATTCCCCTAAACCTCTCAGGTACTTGTGGTTATTTATCTTTTGTGCTATGCAGATTAAAGTAAATGAATTCCAAGGAGAAGAGAAGCTGAATCATCAGACATAAACATGCTATTCTTATTATCTTGGCACATAAGCAAAGGGGAAATTTTCCTTTCAAATACCACTGTGTGGCAGCTGTGACTGTCCTTAATGAGTGTTTTACTTAAAATAGACAGAAACTGGGAAGGCTTAAATGGGAATGATACCAAGAAAACAGACCAACCAGCCAGATGGTGAGTGCTTCCAGGGGGGAGGGGGAGAGGCGGACTGTGAAAGAGTCAAATCACAGCAATTACCAGAGAATAAAGGGACATGTGGGAGCACTTACACTTTTGTGAAACACTCTTGTTTTTCATCATCCCCTACACATTTATATGTATGCATATGTAATTATATCTGACAGACAGGTTGAGTGTTTTCTTTTGGTATGCAACAGCTACATTTTTTAATTATTCCCAGCCAAGTTACATCTTCCATTTGAAACTAGATGCAGTTCTCCCCAATGTAATTCCTAAATTGTGACATTAATTGAAGATGTTCAATAATTTTTTTATCAACCAAATTAATAGCAATATTTGAACTAAAAACAACTTTGAAATGGCATTCTAGTTGTGCTTTACATTTCCCAGAATATTGTTCTATTTTTGCTGTAATTTTGCTACCACTCTCATCCTACTATTTATCCTCCATCCAAAGTTATCCTCTCTCAGAATTGATTTTTTAATTAAAATATTTCTTCATTCATTTGTACTTTCAATGTATACTTTGATCCTTACATCACATATCTATAGCATCAGGTGAATATGCAGGCAAAATGCCAACATCAGTGAAATAGGGAAAGAGATTCCAATATTGAATACGTAAAAATCCACTGGCTTACCATTCAGTGCCATTTTGGACTTCAGTTTTTATAAACACATGGACAAATCAGTTCAGCCTTAGGTGACCAAATACATAAACGTTGAACAGTACAGGTAGTCCGATTTTATGACTTTTTTTGCAGCAGTTGTTAAGCAAATCATGGTCATTAAATGAATCACATGGTTCCCTATTGACTTTGCTTATCAGAAGCTAGGTGGGAAGATTGCAAATGGCAATCACGTGACCGTGGGATGCTGCTACTGTTGTAAATACATGCTGGCTGCCAAGCACCCGAATTTTGACATGTGACCATGGGGACACTGCAACGGTCGTAAGTGTGAAGACCAGTCGTAAGTCACTTTTTTCAGCACTGTCATAACTTTGAATGATCACTAAACGAATGTTCATAAGTCAAGGACTCCCTATACTTGAAATGATAAAGCCTCCATGCAGTAAGTATGAAAGTAATGACCAAGAAAGGATTCATTCTCCTCTTCCATGTTTTGCAGAGAATCTTTGGCAATTAAACATATATGCATTAATTATTTGCCTTGGAAGGATAGGAAATAAGCCCTCTTAAATGAAATAAATGCGTATCTAGTATCACCCTATCCACCACAAAGATCCTAAAAGTGAATGATACAAAATATCTTAAATCAATTATCAAGGTTTCCAGATCTGGATTCTTAAACACTTGGTTGCTGTGAAAAACTAGTACAGCCTTTCCAATCTGAGGTTTCCTAGATACATTGGACAACAGCTCTTATAATTCCCAGCAGCTTGGTCCTTAGAGTAAGAATTATAGGATAACAAGTCTAAAACATTATGAAGGCACATAGTTTCCAAATTAAGGATAAAACTATATTAAACAACTTTTCTTAATGACTGAATTCACAGTGTGCTATACCATGATGTGGTTGATTTGGTTGGATTTGTCTTACTGTAATATATAAATTTACCCAATTATAATTTCTTACCCAAGCAGAGTTTTGTATAATATATGGACTTAGCCAATGCTTCAATCTCAAGTCAAGAATAATAATGTGTTTTCCAACCCTGATTTTCTCTTGGCTGGCAAGGAATAATCAAATTCCTTACTGTGTTGTATTCAGCAAAAACACTAGCCATGATGATTCATCCTTCTGCATGTACTCTTAGATACCCGGTTACACAAACTACAGAGATCTACTCTTTATATAGATTCAGACCCAGATCTAGACTTTTGAGTGCCACAAACAAAAATCAGACTTTTTTTATGCAAGTGAAGCAGCATCAAAATCAAGCCAAATCCAGGAATAATCCAATAAACTCATATTGATCCCATTTAACAGACCTTGAACAGAAGTGAAATACACCCACGAAATCATTCAAAGGAAAAATCTGAACTGAGGGCAACTTCATATTACTCATCGTTATCTGCAGATGTGGCAATTCCAAAAATTGGGGCAAAAATTAACAAGCTGATATAAATCACCATTCAGTACAAGGTTGAAATGGATGGTAAATTTCTGGCTCAAGTCAGGTTTTCAAAGAGAGCTTCTGAAGTAACTCAGTTAAGATCTCTGAAATAAACTTGCAGTTCTTTTTCTTTATTCATCTTGGACTTATTTCAACTCAATGTTCTTTGCTCCCACAGGATGTCAGTGAATTCCAACATTTATCACTTCACTCATTTTTGCTTTCTCTCCCAAATCTTTTATCATTTTCAAACGATCTTACAGTATTTCAAGTTGTGAAATTCATGCCAAATTCTGTGATTCAGAAATGTTATGACCTGTTTTTCTGCTGATTAAAGGAAAGAGATACTGAAATGGTATGTCATTCATTGGCAAACTCATGCAGGCAGCACATTTTTTAAAATAGCAGTCCACTGCCTCACATTTAAAAATAACATTAATTATGTCTGACATTTAAATTGCAATTCCCAAACACATTTTGTATTGTATCTTAGATTACTGAGTTCACCAGTTTGTAGCTAGAACAAACTTTCACTTGTTTTCAGAATTATATTTTATAAGAATATCTTTACAAATTAGAAACTTTCCTGAAATTATAAGCTTTAGTGCTAAATATTTCATGCTTTATATGTCAGGGAGAAAAGTACATTTGGATAACTTACAGAACTTCATTTTGCATTTCCCAGCTGTGACATGAATGTAAACAGCTTTGTTGTAAGTGGAAGCATCAGCAGGATCCATTCGTTTAAACAAATGATGGCAGCAGAATCACATCATTGTGGCACAAGCACATGGCTACAACTTTGTGACACATGTACAAAAGGAGCAGAGCTTGCATCACATTGGAACAGTAATGCTTTTGTCACTTGTGTCCCCTCCTCCCCTGCAAGGGAAGTACAGTCCATTCTGAAGAGTAATTTTCAATGCGGCATAGGCAGGTTGACACTGAATCTGTAAATCTCACTTTTTCTCACTTTTTCATTCTTAATTAGGT